AGCATCTCAAGACCAGAACACAGTATAGGCTATACTGATGCTATTGCTGCTGGTATCCTCATTTGGGGGGGGGATGTTTTGGCTATAGTCACAGAAAGTCTCAGTTACATTTACGCTAAGCCAAATTTCCTTCAAACAAAAGGCAGGAGGCTGCAGTGAACTCCAGGGAAAGCCTGCAGGGTATACAGCTTTGATTAAACAGAGATGTCAAGAAGTGCAAATGTACACACTAGATCTCACTCCTTTGTGCTCAGATTGTCAGTCTTCAGTATGAAAGCAACTCCTCCTTCAGTGTTGCCACTGAAGAGCCTGTTGAAGTATGCACCCAGAACTGCAACATAGCTGCAGTTTTCTCACTGTTATCTGTCAGTTTCTACCTGAGAGAGCCTGCAGCACCTCCCCTGCTACGCCCAGAGAGTTGGAGAACATCTCCCACAACTGAAACATGGGTCGCAGTCAAGTTGGGAAGAGGTGACATTCGGATGACACACTGCTGCCACCACTGACAAAGTTAAGGGGGGGAGGGGTTTAATCCCAAGATTACTGAGAGCTATCCTGTTAACACTGTATACAGTCAGATTGAGGAAGGGAAATTTAGTGAATAGTGACTTAAAACAGACTTTTCTGGATGAATGCAGGGGACCGTGGGAGATGGAAGGGAGAAACAAAAAGATAACAGCACCAGGCAAAGACACCTCGGCAAGTACCTGAAAGACTACAGGAAAAGCCATCAGTTTCAAAAGGACCTTAACATCTTATTTCTAAAGAAATGTATACTTCTGCCAGGCTATGCTCTCAGAGCTGAAACATCAGAGATGGCCATTTCTGAGCTAGAGGAAGAGGCTATGCTTATCAGCCCACTGTGATGTGGGGAAGAAAGTGTGCAGTGACTGAAAACAGCTGGTAAGGTGGAAAAAGGCCAAACACCCAATAAAGTAGAAAGACATTATCCTTTTCATTGCTGGAAGACAATGGCAATGTTTTTTCTCTAAATACTGCAAGAAGCCTGGTCACTCACTAGTGGTACAGCTACTAGAAGAGACACCTTCAAAGGGACTGAACACTGTGGATAACATACAAGGGACCTCAGTGTGAGACTTGGTTGACGCCAGAAGTCACAAGGCAGAAAAGCTGCATTGCTGAAGACTGGGAGCCTGCACAAAGGAGAAAAAACACAATTAGAATGGACTGGATCCATCCTGATAACTGCCATCTGAGGACTATCCTTATGCAAAGGCAGAGACGTTATACAAATAAGAAAATCGAGATTAAAATCCATCCTGGAACTGTTGTTGTAAAAACATAAATTATTCTTAAAGGTATTTTCCAATTTTTTAATGAATCTATATAAGAATGGTTGTTACAGAGCTCTTAAAGATCCATTTTACATCTTTGGGTTGAATAATGACTACAGCCATCTGCTGTGGCTTCCTCCTTCCTTCCCTAGCCCATCACTAGAGGGAGTTGCCACTACCTCATTTTGTTCAGCCCTTACCTGCCTGGCCAATACTTCCCTACATGTATCTTGCCTAATTCTCATGTCTTAGGTGAGCCGAGTTTTCCTTGTTGAGGAACAGGTACCTTCAGATTCTTTTCTAAAACAAAAATCTCAAGTAGGTTAGAAAAACTGCATTCTTCAGGTAACTGTTTCTCAAGCCAGGGTGCCTAACCTGGGTGTTCAAGATGAATCCCATCATTATCTTGATAAATTAATTTGCTTCATGCTAAGCTCAATATTTAGCACAGTGGCTGCTTGTCTGAAGCTCATAGGCACTGAACAGCATTTGTGTTATGATAGCAAACAGCCACTCTGGAGAAAGAAGGCCAAACCCATGTTATTTAGAAAGAAAATCTGTCCTTCTGCTTTGGCAAAGGGAATTTGAATGTCTCTTTGGAGTCATTTCCCTATTAGAAACACTTAGTTTCCTTGCATATTTTCTGAAGTCCTCATGAGGAAAGAGACTACAAAACATTTGTGTGCATGTTTTGCAGATGATCTGCAGTGGGCTCTGGGCTGGAGCATCTTGACGTCTCAGATGACTGAAGGATACATCACAACAACATACCCCTGCTCAGAGAGATGAGCACAGAACAGCATGATCCTTTACAGATCAGGGAGACAAAATCTAGAAAAAAAAACTCCTGAAGAGAACTGAAAGAGGAGAGGCAAAGGGAACAAAACATAGAGGAAATGAGCAACCAAGGCTGGGGACAGAAAAGAGGATGTACCTGAACACCAAGAGGGAGGTTAGTACTACTGTACTTGCATTCAAAACCTGCATTTGGCTGTAGTGCACACAGCTGAAATATATATACAGACAGACGCTAAGCAGCATGGATATTTTCCCAGTTTACCACAGCTCTAGTATCCCAGCCTATGCCGAGGGCTTTTGTAGGGCTGAAGCCAGCACAGAGGCAAGAAAAACAACAAAGACACCACCAGTTCTTTCCTCTCAGACATCTCTGTGGGGTCTTAGATGACCAGTAACTGGTATGCTCCTATTGCTAGTTCTGCTGGAAGAGCTCTGGAAGCATTCTCACTAGCCTCACCCTTTAAGAAACTTTTGGGAACCTTTGTATCTTTGAGACTGTTTACTGCCTGTTGAATATGACAAATCATTGGCAGGATTGTACAAACTAGGATCCAGAGGGCATAAGCCAGCTGAAGTTGCCAACAAGAAACAGAACTTCATGTCCATCTATCTGCAGCTTCATTATTCATTTCTGAAGCCAGCAAAGGTGTACTCAGACTAAGTCTGTGGTCTGGTCTAAGGCCCAGTATGTGCCAGAGTTCATAAAAATCCCACATGAGCGAAGTATGATATGACACTAACTTGCTTTCACAAAGCCTGCTTTGGAAAGCCCTGCCTTTCTATCCCAGAGGTAGAAGCAGACAAGCATGCTTCTGGCACTTTGTGGAACGTAGTTTGACTGCCAGGGAGAGGAGAACAGCTTGTCTTTATAGCAGCTCTTTTCAATGACCTGGAAAACCGTAGAACCCTGCTTCCTCAATAACCCAGGCATTCCCCTAGAGCTTTCAGCACCAACCATGGGCTGCCTACAGCCTAATGCTGTTCTCCCTCAGTGTTTAGTGTTTTCCCTACTAAACCGTAGCGGTCTTGGCAGTCCTGGGGTAATGGTTGAACTTGTTGATCTTAAAGGTCTTTTCCAACCTATGTGATTCTATGATTCCTCAGTAATAGAAGGAGATTCCTGGCAAAGGGCTGTCTGATAGAAGACTACATGCTGCATTCATGGTGTATTTACCTTGCATGAGAATGAGCAGTGACTTTTTATTCAGTTAGTATATCACAGGTCTTCAGTCAGTTGCTAAAGGCTGTTTCTTGAAACACCAACTTCCTGATACCTGCTGTGCAGATCTTGGTTCCCTACAATCATAGAAATGTAGAAAGTTACACTGAAAAGGTAAAAGCCATATGCTTCCTTGGAAGATTTGCATGACCAGGCTTCACCTTCAGATGACAGAGGAGGCAGGTCTTCTCATGCATCCTACTCGACACCAGTCAGCTTCAGCCCAGCAGAGGTTTCAGAATTGGCCCTGACCCAAGCAGGGCAGTCAGCCAGAGCCATCACAGCACAGGTAGGCTCTCCTGTAGAACAGGCACAACCAAGCACATTGCCTGAGCCTGATGCTATAGAAGGAACTAAACTCTCAGTCTCTGGCACAAAAGTACTTTTCAGACTGCCTCTATGGCAGTAGGCAGCTAGATACCTCCTTCATAGGCAGGTAGCTGAGCTGAACCCATAGCAGATACAAGGCAATGCTGGACACTTGGTAGCTGCCATCTTTCACTGCAACACTCGGGCAGCTACTTGCAAGTATCCCACTTCATCTCCAGACTTCAAGTTTTGTCCTCTTTTTTTTTTTTTTTTTTGTTCTGATAAAATCCTACCACACTGACAAGAACAGTATTAAGATCTAGGTCATTCCAGAAGGGTCGGGGAGGCAAGAGGATTTCATAAAGCTAATCCAAATTTACCAGTAAGCTGTAACCTGCACAGCTAGAGGCCAATGACTGCTGTCCCACAAGCATGCCACTCATTACTCATGTACATGTATGCATTAAACATCTACAGCTGACAGAGGCTCTGCTGGGAGATCAGACACGATTTATGACACTTTCTCAGCTAATGGTCCCTGTCACCCCATAAGAATTTACAGCTTAGTGCCACCTCCCAGCTTCCCGTAAGTACAGTTTACAGAGGACATCTTTCCATGCCTGCCACACCACCACCATCTGGAAAGAAGCCACAAACTTTGATGTCAACTGGCCTGCACTGCAGCCATCTCAGGCAAAGCATGTTCTAGTTTGAACACAAACCCAGACTGCCAAAACCTCTCCTGGCATTCCCAAACCACTTCTGCCTCAAGCAACTTCCTGTTGGAATGCAAGTATGCTGGTTTTAGCTGGGATGCAGTTAATTTTCTTCACAGTAGCTGGTATGAGGACTATGCTTTGGATTTGTGCTAGAAACAGTGTTGATAATGCAGAGATGGTTTAGTTACTGCTGAGTAGTGCTTACACAGACTCGAGGCCTCTTCTTATCACACCATCCAACTGCAAATAGGTTGGGGGTGCACAAGAAACTCGGAGGGGACATGGACAGGACAGCTGACCCCAACTGACCAAAGCGATACCCTAGACCATATGGTGTCATGGTGAGTATGTAGAAGTGGGGAAAGTGACTCCTGGCCCTAGGTAATCAAAAGTAAACTCCCCCAACAAAATATATATAGTGGAGTGGAAATAGGAGAGACTCAAAACAATTACATTCCCCAATTCATCACACAAACATAGAGAAATACTTAAAACTTACTGCAAAATAGGACTCATGCTTATTTTACAGGGTAAACAGTGCTGGAAACAGGGCTGTAAGGTTTACATTTGATACCCTTGCCTCAACAATAGTGTCTGCATACATGCAAGGTCCAAGAAAAGAACTGCCATAGCTCAAACATCTTGGCCCACAGGACAGACGTAATTAAAAAGGCTCGCTCTTTATTTTAAAGATAAAAAGAAACATTTTACACAGCATTGTCAGAACTATTCAGTACCTGCATTCCAGATTTGTGCCGAACACTTTATTTTATAACTTTGAAATTAAAATGAAAGAAAGAAAATATCTTGCCCTTCTGCTAGATGATGTTCAAGCTTGTCCTGGATCAAAATTCCAAGTGCCTGGAGGAATTTACCAGCTTAACCAGAAGATGTGGCAATGTGAACAGAGGAAGACATGAGCCCTTAGGATACTTTGACAATGCCACAGGTTGCAGCAGGAAAATATGGATGCTTGCACTGCATCTCAGGCAGCTTACTCTTCTGATACTTTGCAGGTTTAATACATCACCAGATGCACACACACCTCCACTCACACAAACCCTGGTCACACAGGAAATAATAATAACATGAAAAGTGACCTAGATTTTTGTTTTCATTAGAGGTAAGATTTCCACTCTATTTTAAAAAAAGGGGGATAATAGAAAATTGGCACAAGTAGAAGGAAACCTGGTGTGGGTAAGTCTAGCCCCTCAGCTTCTAGCCTTCCAACTACAGCAAACACAGGGTAGAAGGGGATGCAACACTGCCTTCCAAGAGGCTGGCAGCAGTATGAGCTAGCAGCAAACTTGCTTCACTTAGAATGACAATGATGGTTTGTTACAGGCCATGAAGGAAGGTCAGCATTAGCTAAGGACATTGGGACCTTTCACTAGAGGAGCAGGGAGCCCTGACCAAAATAACCCTGAGTTTTTCCAGCAGGGAGAAAGTGTGCTACGTTGTGGGCTTGGGAAGAGCTGGCAGTTCCCTGCTCATTCATTCCCTAATTATTGCATTACGGTCATGATCCTCTCTCCCTAAAACTTAACCAAGAGCACATAAACAAGGAGTAAGAAATCAACAGATGGCTGTGCTTCAAACTTCACCACTGCTATGTCCCTCCCAAGATGCCCCAATGCCACAGGCCTCCTGTGAAGAAAGCAATTTTTAATGCAAGAAGGAAAAAGCAAGATTTCACTATAAGAGACAAACAGGAGAGGAAGAAAAAAAAAACCTTTCTGTCTATGCAATATCCAAGTGAATCCTTTCCTCAACTCCCTTCCTTTGGAAAGCATTGCTACAGATTTCTGGGCCTTCACATCAAAAGCTAGATACTGGTTCTGCTCTGTTCCTCAGCAAAGGCAGCTACATCTGCCTCCAGTATAGGCCTTTTCAGAGCTCCTTCAGAAAGCAAAACATCAGGTCAGAAAGAAAAGTTGCTATGAATGTTCAGGCAAAAGTCTCTCAGAGATTGATAGACTTTGGGTGTACCAGTTTTGGAATACTACATCAAGTGTCTTTAAAGAGTCAAATGAGAAGCTGCAAGCCCCAACTCTGCAAATCTAATCTATTTTGAAGATGCCTCATGTTCAGCTTCCAAAAATCACTGGACACCTCTATGCATACATATGTGTACATACGCGACAGCATGCATGTTCACATACAGGAAGCAGAACAGCCTTCTAGACAAAAGCCTCATGTCAATGTCAGAACAAAGGTCACAATGAAAGGGGGGGGGGGGAACCAGAACAACCCAAAATACACACAAAGTTTACTCCAAAACCTCCAGTTCTGTAATAGCTATTGTGTTGAGTGCAAGGTCCCACAAACACTATTGCAAAATGAAGCCTTCGTAGCACAAATAATAACTCTCCAGCTCCCCTGGAATATACAGTGAGAAAAGCTATTAGTGAACCAGATTGTCTAATACATAAGTAAAGTCTAGACTGGCAATAGCACACCACAGACACTATTTTCCATGGATGCTCTCCTTCAGCATCTTTTATCTTAAATAAAAACAAAATAATCTTGGAATGATTGAGCTCTGGCCTCAGCTCTACATTTCTGACCCTTCTTGATGCAAGCCAAGCCCTGGCTGGGACATCAGACTGCGGTGCAGTCCTACTTCCTTGCCTCTTTACATAAAATATCTTTATTCTGACTTCTATTGCTTGTAACACCAGCTGTGCTGGGAAGACAGAACTGCCCTGAAAAGGAGCTGCTCCGACTCAGAAGCCAAGCCAGTATGCATGGAAGAACAAAGGACTTCTATACTATAGCACCTAGGAATATGTCTCAAACCCATGCTGAAAGCCCTGCTGCAGGCCTGTGCAGAAAATGAGGACCATTGGAAGCTGAGGGATTCTTGCTGCCCTCCTGGGCTTTCTCCTATTCCAACCCTGAGCTGCACTTCAGCTACTGCAGGTCTCAGATTCTGCCCACAGGTTCAAGTGTTACCACTGAGTGACTGGAAGAAGCAGCACTGGAGTCTGGTCTGTGCATCTGGTAACACATAGATTACAGGTCTTATCTAATCACTATCAGTGGACCAACTGCAGACAAAGATCCACCTCTTTCCTCCTCCCCCATAAGTCACACCATCACTAGGGGCAAGGTCTTCCAAGCTCTCCACCAAGGCCAGCAGAAGGCTGGGCCTTGTTTCTAGACACCACATGCCCCTCTACACAAGCAGAACAGGGTCTCAGGCACAAAATGAGCAGCTGTAATGGGAAAGAAAAAGGTGAAAAGGTGAGAGAAGGTGGCCATAAGGAGACAGCCAACAAATCCTTGTCTCAGGACTGACTTTTCAGGGTTGCCAAGTTAGCCTCTATTCACTGCCAAGAGCTTTAAGCACTGAAAATAAAAGAAAAAAATAAGTTTAAAAAGAAGTGTCCCAGAGATCTCTAGGCATGTTATGTTGCAAACCCTTTAAAGCCAGGGTAGAGAAGGCATGCAGACAACCAGAAAACCAATTTGTTGCTGGAACAGCTTCATGAGAAACTAGCAGAGGAACCTTCTCCAGCCTTCAACCCAGCACAGAGAAGTCTGTGAGATACCAAGGTGGACAGAGGAAGGGAACAGGATGGTGTGATGGGGGTGGAAGGGAAAAGTAGATTGGTTAATACAATGAAAATTTGACATTTTACCAGCTCTTTTCCCACTTGTCACCCTCACCATCACACTTTCATACATCTATTCAAAACCAAGAGGAGGGGAAAAAACCCACCAATCAAACAAACAGAAAAACCTTAGTGAATTTTGTCACAGGGCCCCGGTGAAAGAAGACTCAACAGTTTGCACATTAGAAGGACATGATTCCTGTGCAGAAAGTGCTGCTGGAAAAGGAGAATTCCAAGTTGCTACATATGGCCTGAATGCTCTCAGGGCATGACATGTAACAAGGAGAAGCTTGAGGTCCAAGCTGCAATCAGAGAGGAAATGCACTGTCTTCTCTGGGCCTGTGGGCAAGTGTCTCAGCACAGTCCAAGAGCCCTTTGAGTCTCTCCCAAAATACAAGTGTGTCTGGCTCCATGTTTAGTCCATCTCCATTGACATTAGCCGGCGACGCTCTCGTCTTGTTTCCTGTACTTCCTTCTTGCAGCACCAACGGGAGCTGCAGTAGCCAATGAGGCAGGATAAGAGTCCAATGACAGTGGCCAGACCAATGCCAATCAACAGGGGATACTTGAAAGCATTCAAAACTGAAAGAGGAAGGCAACATCATTAGATATCACAGAGAAATTCAGAGATTTCTGTTCTCTCCTTAAAACCAAAAACAAATAAATAAATCCCACAGTATTCACTTATGGGCACATTAATTATTTCAGAGAGAAATTACACCGATTTTCTTTTGAGGGTCGAAAATTAGTTTTATTGGACTCCCTTACTTCCTCACCCTTGCTCTTCCTCTACCACTTCTTCCTCTATCCTTTCAAAGCCTCAGGGAGGCTGGAAGCATGAGGAGCCTTCGAGTGAGATAGCAAAGCAGAGCTAGTTCCAAGGGGTGCCCCATCACCTCTTCCTCCAGACAAAAGCCTTGTAAGCTTCCCTCATCAGAGGCAGACTGTGGCTGCACTCTTTGTAGTTTGTTTCCAAATGACAAGGAGGATTCATTTATGCTTTGCTTGATGAGAACTACTTGTACAATATATATTTGCTGCCACTTACAACCCTGTCTAATCAACCTCCAAAGTTGGTACCTAAACACAAAATTTGATTTGCAAGCACCTACTGCTCAGACAAAGGCAGGGTCAAGAACTGTAAGGAGTTTGGAAAGTACAGCTATCATAGTTAGCTACACAATAGGGAGAATAAAACTTTTGATTCCTTTTAAGTTCATGGAACTTCCCAATATGACATTTCACAGAAATATTGAGAAGAAAGCAACTAGTTCAAAACCCCTCCTGCATTAATCTTCCTTAGCTACATGCTGAATGCAGCATCTAGCGTCCAACTTGCTTCTTATGAAGTCCAGCAACTCTTGCAACGCAGACTAGAAAGCGGACAAGGTATTAAGTGCAGGGAGCAGCATGTCATGTGGTTAGGAGAGGGAGGAAGGAGTCAGAGGTCTGACTTTCTGTTCTCAGTTTTGACATTAACCACAACACAACTACTTCAGCACACCCCATCTGCAAACCTAGGCTTCCTCATGCAGGCAACCAAAGGGTTAACACTTGAAGAGGATATTATGCCTTGATTAAAAGATGCCCCAGCTATGCAAAACATCACCAGGAAATGATCAGGAAAGAAAACACTTCAGTCTTGTGACTGTGATCTGTTCAGGCCTACCTAGTCTACAGAATCTGGAATCAGAAGTTGCAAACAATAGAAAAGAGTAACAAAATCTGAGATTATCATAGGGACCTTTAAAAATAGTCATAGGAAATATTTTTCAGAGAAAGGCATAACAAGGTGTTAAAAAAGAAAGAGACTGTGTAAGACATGTTGAAATCTCTTACCATCCATTTTCACAGATAGAAAAATGGGTTTGGCTTTGATGTCAGGTTCCCGCTGCCATACACCAGTGGCAGATCGCACCCACGGAGTCACTATGCAGTAGTGGTTCCCAAAGTCATGATCCTCACAGCCATGCACACGGAGACGGAATTCTAATGGGCTGATTCTCTCCAGGCTGAGATCACTGCTCCCATTTCTCCTGCTCTGTGTCACAATCCCTCTTCGGTCCAGTGAGGCCAGCAAGACGGGCTCTCTGTCCAATGCAAAGGAGTGCACGGCAAACCAGGAAACATCAAAGGACGTATCATCTGTGTTTGAGGACAAAAATGAATTTAGACATGGTGGTGAGCTCTGAAAAGTATTCATAGTGTCATTCTCAGGCAACACTGGTCTGACAGTGGAAGAAAGAAAGAAAAAGAAGAAAAAGAGAATGCTCTGAACATGTCCTTTCTAGGAGGATTCAAGTAGTGAATTGCAATGAAATGCACTAGCAGGAAGGATGCAGTTGCACAGAAAGGGTGACTTAATACAGGGACAACAAAGAGGAGATTTCTTCCTTTCCTACTTGCTATCCTAAAACTTATGTTTAATCTCTGATCTAAGTTTTCACCAAGCAGGCATAGTGTCATAAGCAGTTCTAGAACTATGCTGAACCTACAGTGAAATGGGAGTGGAAGTCCTAAGTATTTGCAATCACTATCTTCATGCAGGGCCTATATAACAAAAGTCAGAAGGCTCTTTGCTGAAGGCCCCTTCATTACATTTGGTCTACCTAAATGAATACAGAGATTCTAGACAGAGCACAAAAAATTACTTACAAAACCACTAAGTATTCAGGAGCAAGGCCTGACCACGATGTTTTTATAAAGTTTTTTTTTCAGAGTTGTGAGTTACTGTCACACATCATCAGGCATTATGCCTTGTACAATTTTTACCACCCAAGGAGAATCTACAAAATGCATTTGCAACACCTTCCATGTTTAACAAAGCTGACAGGTAGTCAGAGTTCATCAGCACATCTAGCTCTTCCAACGTCCATACAGATCCTATTGACCCCTTTAGCAGACCTCAGTCTTAACCCTATTAGGCTGATGTAGCAGAGTACTTACTTTAAAAGCCAGTGCTATTCTTTGCTAACATGAGCCTAGCAACATGCGTCAGAGTCTGAATCCTGGCATAACTTAGGGCATAAACAGGAGAGGCTGCTCACTCGTTTCAACATGTCTTCTTTCCTGATACATTAGCAAACTGTAGGGCCCAAACTGGAAACAGAGGTTACTGTTTCTATCCTGAGGTTTGGGTACTGGTAGAACGCATACACAGGGCTTGACCTTTTCACAACTAAAGGCAGTCCCCAGTGACTCTGGCGATGTATCAAACCTCCATTTGATACTATTGAGACCTCTGAAAAATACAGTTTTAGCAACCTGAAACTTAAAACTTATATTTTTTTCTATATTGAGCTTGCTCTTCTCTGAACTTTCAGATTTGATCTCCAGGCTAATGTTAAAAATAAAGCCCTAAACCTGCTGCAAACCTGCTGCTGTACTCAAATTGTTTACAGGTATAAGAGCAAATGATTTTTCAGCCTCTATCAGGCAAGTTAACACTTCAGGAAAGAAGGGAAATTTAAAATGATATTTTAAAAGTAAAGGGACATCCTCAGCTCTGCTATGTGAAGTATTAGCATCAGCTGGCCAGACAGAACATTCCCCTTTACGGCAGACAGAAAATTACCCACTGTTCAGGGTACACTCAACTCTCTTGTAGGTGCGCTGGTTTTACTCACTTCTTCAAAACAAAACAGAAAGGTGAGACAGCAGATGTTACTACCAGAGATGTTGGCTGACCAAGCTCATTTCTGGAACAATAGCCAACTTCCTGCCTTAGCCAGGTGCTCCAGGCGACAGCACAGAGCCTCAAAAGAGCACCTGGCCTATTTTGCAGCCCTACAGCAGGAGTAGGTCTCCCAGTCCTACATGGGGGTCAGTGTAAGTCATGTGGACCAGCAGACCTCACAGCAATCACTCTTGCCTGTCATACTACAAATACGACTGTTGGTTACTTGGCATAGGCCTTCTCTTGAAAGTGATGTTAATAAAAATTACCATAAACATATATTCAGTTAACAGGACCAAACTTTGACTTCTGCTTTGTGTACTCATCCAACCATCTGTGGGAAACGGGGCCTTTACTGGAGAGAGCTCCGTTTCTATAAACTATTCTTTCTTATGCTGCCTGTTTATGCCAAATACGGTAATAACAACGGTCCACAGGCAGGCACTTTGGGAACAACCAGCACCTTCCAAAGATCATCAAGACTGCCATGAGCTCTTGTATTTCCAGATACCATAGGAGCCTATAGACACCTTTCAGGCCAAGTCCTGAATATACCATTGCACAGGCTAAAAAAGGTTTAAACAATAAGTCTAGATATAAAAAGAAATAATCTAGCCTTCAGATTCCCAGGCAACTTGCTATCTCTAAAGAATTCTTTCTTTTCAGTTCCAATTAATTTGAGGTTCCTTTCCCTCCATATACAGAGACAAGTGCAGGCACTTGCTGTCATTTTGAAATAGCTGAATCTATCTTCTGTAATTACAATATGGGACAACAGTATTATGCCAACATATTTCATTAGTCAGTATACATAGTGTGCAATTAGTGACTCACTACAGACAGTCAGAGGGAGGATTTGGCTTCAAGTTGCTATCCTCCTTGAAATAGCTTAATACAGCAAAGTCATCTGATTTGCTTCAATATATCTCTGGTTTTCATGCAATAAAACCACAGAAAACTTAGCAAACCTATGACATAAATCAGGTGCTCTCTAAAGATCAGTGATGAACATGCCTAGCATCTCTCAAGTGATAATAAATATAGTTTTACTAACATAAAACAGGTCACACACTAGGTTTCCCAAAAGCATCTGCAGCATCCTACACACACCTTGCATCAACATTGACAAGTCACTCTCACAATTTTTGCCCCAGATTTACAAAACCAAACCAAACCACAAGAACCACACTCACACTTAACCCTACAAAGGTTTCTTTCACTGGTTCCTTCCACGCTCTACAATGTTAAAAGTACTATAAGGCATCTGGACAAAATACCCCATATTACAGGAAAGGATAACATCCCAGTGCCAAGCTCAGAAGGCCATCAAGGATTCAGTGTCCTCAGGTCATGCAACTTAGCTCCTTTCATAAAGAAAAAAGCACCAGAATTTGGACCCTTCAGAGCTCTGCAAGCAGAGTAATAGTGACGCTATGCTTCCTCCCCTCCCCAGTTAGTAAGGATCATCAACATGTAAAGCACATCCTTATGCACATTTCAATTTGACACACAGGACTAAGCTGTCTGGGTCTTAGCTGCTTCCCTGGCCAATCACTCCTCAAAATGGGGAATCCTGTTTCTAGACCAGCTTTCAGAAACCATTCACTTCCACTGCTCTCTCAGCATCTTGTTACAGTACTGAATCACAATTTTGAGACCCTTTTTGCTTAATACATTTAAATGAGGTTGAATAGGAGTTCCTAGACAGCTGAGGAAACCACTTCAAGCCATACAACAGGTGAACAAGCTGGGTTTGTTAAATTCTCTAGAGTGCCCACTGCATCTGTCTGGAGCAGATAAAAACAACCATCTCCTTTCAGGCACAATAACTAAAACTTTTAAATCCCTAAGCACATAGCCCAAGAAGGGGTGATCAGGGAAGTCTAGAGAGATCATTTGTGAAAATGTGTATTCAACAGAAATATCAGAAGCAGCTTTTATATCTTCAAGACACAGAACTACTATTCCCTGGACACACACATATTCCTCTCATATGAATTCAAAACACTAACCACAGCTGCCAAGCCAAAGAAGCGCTTCGTTAGATGGAGAGGTTGCTGTCATGTACTGAGCTTAGTAATGCACACTCCATTTCAGCAGGGTCTCAAAGAAGCAGAGGAAATTAAAGCACACAGCAGTCATGCCAAAACCTTTCCCATCCTTTTGAAAGTTTCCCACAGGGTGGGTACACAGAAACACACATAGAGTATTGTGAATTACCTTTACCAAAGTCCAACCCATAAGTAACACTTCTAGAAACAAATGGATCAATCTAACTGCAGTAAAGAAGGGCACTGACAATGACAATAGGTGATTTAACTTTTCTTCAGCTCCTTGGAAATACTTTATTTTTCTGATTGTGTATGCAAGAGAGAAGAGGTAGCACCTGACACTTCAGCTTATTACAGGAAGCATACATACTGATCCACATACATGCTTGCAAAGTTGAGTGCTTATGTATACAAGAGCAGAGCTGGCTGGAATACCAACTGTGCTCAAAGTGTTTTGGATGTGCATTAAACAAGATATCCTATCAAATTCCTTGATCCTTCTCTGCTCAAAAGAGGGGCCTAAAACACAGCCCTGCACCAGAAGAGCAGATGGCCTTTGAAAGGCATCTTGCCCACTCATATTCAAATGCAATTGCTCTGCTCTCCTTTCTCACCACATTCCCAAATGGAAAGACCATGTCTGTACTCCTGTCATCTGTTTTCTAGGAGATGCTGGCAACTCCTGCTCTGTTTATGCAAATACCTGGTATAGGCTTTCCCTAACAATGTGCCTCATTTTCCGTCTGGAATGAGACAGCCCCTGTTATTTTCACACTAATTTAAAAAGCCAGTTCTCCATTCTAGTTGTGAATTAAATTGTGATACTGACTCAGCACACAGACAGATCTAAGATGGGATAAAGGGGAATAAGGAACTACTGAGGAACTACATCTGTTTGTCATCATATGAGCCCTTAAGGTCCTTCACCTAACCTGCTCCATTATCCCACTGCTCTAGTACCATTTATAGCTCAAGGACAAGAAGTTAGACTGACAAGAGAAATCTGAGCATGCTACAGCTGTTTCACAGATTCCAGCTGTTCCCTGCAGCTCTTCTGCCAGTCTCATCCAGAGGACTAGCAAGAACAGGAGAGAGGTCAGCTTCTCAGGCCCATGGGAAAGGTACAGATAGGGGTTCTCTGCACAGAATGGCTGGTTAGGCCCCAAATCCTGCTCATTCAGCAACTGGAGGCTCGGAGCATGGACTGAAAGGTTCCCTCAAAATCTGCCACAACATTACACTTAATTCCAGGCATATCTGTTGCCTATGCCTCATCTGCTCCATTACAGATGAAAAACCACCCCAAACAGCCCCACAAAAAACACCCCAAACCCAGAAAAACCCCAACACAAAACAAACACAATCAACTCCCACCACTCGTCAAAACCACAAAGAGGCAAGGCATCTGCCATGTTTGAGATGACATTATCCATTTATGGAACAGATTGCAGGGCTGACATTTAAAACTCTGCACTGGCTGCTTGCAGGTGTTGGAAACAGCATCATTTCCAAGTCTAGGCATCATCCATCAATTCAACAGACAACCACAAACCCTTACAAAGCTGTCCAGTTAAAAGGTAATTGTGCTGTGAGCAACTCCTTCCAGAGGACATCTTTTTACTTTGATCCTTTTGATTATTCTTACCTTGTCAGTACTTCTTCCCCATCTCAAGCTACCAAACACACAAAAACCAATTACAAACCCAAATGCAACAGAGCACTGAGAGCCCCACTGTTACTAAGTAGCCTCTTTTCAAGTTTTAAGTGAGTCAGGGATGCTAAGGCCTCTTTCACAAGGCAACCCTAAGCTTACTTTAGCTATCAAGCACCAGCAGAAGCAGCAGCGGCTCCCTGCCAGCAATTAGTGTTTTGCAAAGGAAGCCAGCTATTTTGAGTACTGCCTTACAACAGTACCTGTAAAAGCTTGGGCACACCTCAACTTAGAAGAAGCTTCCTGCTGAGCAGAAGCCACGGGACAGACTGAGGCACAGGTACAGGGATACAACGCTACTTACTGTGTCCAGTATCCCAGGCTATGAATCTTTTGACAAAGTTTACTCAGCCTTTTTCTCCCTACCAAGCATTTCAATAATACAATCTACAGACTTCTACAATTTTTTTCACAGGCAGCACAGAACTGTAATCTGGCAAATTGCTTCCCCACTAGACTCAGATTTAATGCAAAACAGGCACCTAGGGAATTTGAAAGTGATGGTTCTTTATCAAGCTTGGTACTTCATCTCATCAGCTACTACATTGTAAGTAATATTTTCTGCACATGGTTTATGTGCAGATTTCTAAGTTTTACATGAATCACGACATTTTTATTTGGGTATATATATTTATATTTACATATATATTTATAGATTTTAAATAGGTTTTTATATTCATATATAGAGAGAGAAAGGGAATGACTTAAAAAAAAAACCTAATCTCTCTCTGAACTTAGGGCATAATAACCGTAGTTATTGTCACAGCATTGTGATGAAAAGCAGCTCAAGGCTATGATTGGCAAGCAGCTAGGTATTGAGAAATTCTCTGAACTTTTCAGCTCTTCAAAAAATTTGCCTTTAAAGTGTCTGCTATATTTTTCATAGCAAATATGCACCTTGTTTCTTCTTCCACAAAAAAAAAGATGCTCACCTCTGAAGGCATCAGCAATAAACATTCATTTTTAATATTTAGGCTGCAGCAATTATTGTGATTTTTAGTTATACATTAAGCCTTAAATTAACTCTGAATTATGAAGCTGACTGGCCAAGTGACTAAGATTTGTTTACAGATGACCATTTTCTTCCAAGAGGATTTGACAATTCCTTTCCCATTAAGGGAAACAGGAATAGTTTTCACAGCCTTAGCGGTTGTAGGCTGAGACTGCCGGCAGTAAGGTGAGTTGGCACAGATAGCACAGAGGGGTTTAGCTGCAAGAACAGCTTCTGCCTGTCCCCTCAGAAAGTGGAACAAACCCCCTTGTTTTAAATTGGGTTGTGTAAAGCAAACATGCTCTCCTGTATTTATTGAGTTCTACAGGATTTTCAATGCTGATTGTCCATTCTCCAGCCTCACTTAAAGGACACAGGGTTGTTATTGATGGCATTATTCTACTTGGTGAAGGTAAATGAGTTACAAGTAAAATAATTTTGACAAAATACCTTGTTCAAGTGCCATTCCTTCTGTTGTGACAATACACCACAAATCTGCCACTTCACCCTGGTAAACTGTCGGGTTGTCAGAATGCACCGAGACATTAAACACGGGACCTAGAAAAGAGTAACCACAATTGTTAACGACAGGTTTTTATTCAGGGTCCAAAATCTTTCTTGCATGTTTTGAAATATTCTCTGCTCATTTTTAGAGAAAGAACACTGAAACACGGATAAGCGGTTGTGTCAGCTTTTGCAAAATAGTTATCCATTTTTAGCCATTAGCTCCTACACTAAGACAAAGTACCCAAACTGCCAGACCTGTCACCCAACACAGAAGCTGTTGCCCAAACCTGGCATCTACTGTCTTGCACAAAAAGAGCCAGTCTTCCACTGATGACTCCTGTAAGAGCACAAGAGTCCAGGTCTTCAGGCTAATCCAACATGGATCTTTTTGGTTGAGGCTGTTGATAGGAATTCACATTAGAGCAAAATTCACAGTTCAGTATTTTAACAATACAGAACTGAAACACAGACAATACAAGAAGCGCATCTCATAACACTTCCTTGGGCTTTCCTTCAGGCTCCGCCACAGATAGCTTCTTCTGTAGAAGATGTCTCAAAGCCTAAGCATGTAATAACTCCGTCAGCTGCAATGTGGTGATGATATTGATGAAAACCATTAGGCTGCTATGAAATGCTCAAACACCATTAACAATGTGTGGCATTGACTTCTGAGGTGCTTAACCCAAACTTCCCCAAATTTTGACAACAACTACATCTCTGGTGTAAAATTAACAAAACCACAACTGCTCAGATATGCTAATGTTGATAGTACTGTCTATTTCACTGGGCAGAAACTGAAGCACGTGTCAAAATACCCTTAGTGATTTCTCTACAAAACAAAGCAAATGAGGTGAGTAGCAAGGAGGAAAGCTTATGCTAATGGTGGCTTTGGAGGAAGGGGCCATGGACTGAAGAAGGAACTTGGGAGCCAGATTTACCTTTTCTAGAATCCATTAGCTGCTATCATTACCTGGCTCAGCTACCTCTGGAACAAGCAGCATAAAAAGGAAGGACAGAAAAGCTGCTGGAAGATTTGCCCTCCTCCACTCTTGTATGTCACTGTTTTAGTACAGGAACTGTAAATTTCAAATCCACTGAAGATCAGTGGCAAGCAAGGCTTTTGATGGAGAACATTTAATGAAATCATCCAACACACCCCACTTGACCCTTGCCCTCCCAACATGTTTCTGTGGAAAGCTATGCTGATAACTCACCACACTGAACGTACTTATCACATCACTTCCAGACTGAGGTTCTGGAAAGAAACTTGGATGTTCTGTAAAGCTAGAGCTGTCATTTTTGGTGAAACTATTCTAGACTACAAGGGCCTGGCTTGTCTTGGTCAGCACAGATTACACAGCACACTAAGAAATGAATTACAATGCAATAATTACTCCTGTGGCTTCCAAAATTCCCCCCACAATTTCCGCAGGGAAATTGCGCTGCTTTTTATTATGCCATAGATTTCTGACAGCCCTCTCCTCTGTCCCAGAAGCAGTTGTACTTTGTGTACAAGGGAAGTATGTAAATATAAAATCCCGGAGGGTTGTACCATTTTGACATTAGAAGTCCTCTCTATCATAAATTAAGATTGCAAATTACCCCACCAAGCAAGGATACAAGGGTGATAGAGATGCAGTAGAGGTTACATGTGGACTACCAGATGAGACTCCTACATGCTTATGCTAGAACATATCTAAGGAAAAAAAGAGACCCAGAATACTTCGAAGTTCAGCTCTTTAGGTAGTGACTTCACAAGCAGGCTGCCGCTCAGCACGATGGGATCCTTTTCTGGGGAAATGAAGAGAGATTAATCTGATTGTTTCCTCAGCCTCTACCCAAACTTCTCCCATGTAAATTCAATTTATTTCCCAACATTCACATACACACACCCAACCATATTCCTGTTGCAGCTCATCTATTATTTGTATATCTATATATTTACATATATATATTTATTTTCCCATATTTTCCCATCATCTTCTTCAGAGTTGTGCAGAAAGAAATTCAAGGTCCTAGGAGTCTAAAGGCAGCATGGACCAAGGCACTCCAGCCAGCTGTAACCACAAAACCCTCAAGTGGAGTGTGAAGTGTCACAGCAACAGAAACAGACTATCAGACTCTGTCAGGAACATCCCTGCATTCACAGTACACGCACTGACCAATGGCAAACTGGCACCACAATAATCCTGGTACTGCCTATAGCTGAGGGTCTATCCTAGGTCCCAGCAGCAAGTGAGGTGACATTATGTCAGGAATATGGGACATGCTCTACTCCAGGAAACAGGCTGTGTTCTGGCTATATGCTGAAATGAACTGCATGATCCCAACTTCATCAAGCTAAGGATGGGATGCCTCACTCCTGCCCTGGAAGGGTAAACAAGGACAGACATATAGACAGGATTTCTCAGGCTTTATTTCTAGTTTAAAAATCCAGGCATCTACTGCATCCAACAGACACTGGCTTCAACACCGGCATGCCAACAAACCACTAATGGAGAAGGGAGTCTGAGTATTCCTGGACATTGAATGTCACGAAGGTAAAAGCTAAGCTTGTTTGGTCAGTCAGCCAGGAAAAGCCATGTATCATGATAATGCAGTACTCCCTACATACTCTTCAGTTTTGGGTCACCAAACACATCTCTACTCTGCCTCCCGCATGAAGAGTCAAAGCTTCCTGGACTGTAAGAAGGCTGCTAGGCAGCACCTGCTCTGTCATTTCACGAATGCACTTCCCTTCAGTAAGCCACAGTTATTCCCCTATTAGGGTACTTCTCCTGCAAATTACCATCTGTACCTACAGGGAGAAATCACTGCCCTGTGTTAGAAAAACTGGATTTCAACAGTGTTGAGAAATGTGTCAAGTGTTGTGCTTTTCCCCTCTCCAGCTGAAGAGGGAAAACTATTTTTAAACCTAAACTGTAACACAGCTATAATACCTCACTGAAAGTCATCTGCATGCCACCCTTCTCTGTAGAAGGGTTCTGTGTTTGTTTGCTTTTATTTTAAAAACACACAACTGACCAGTGCTTTTAACCTGATTATAACTTGTCTGATTTATGTCCCCAGCTTAAAAAATTTACTCTGGCTTCAGCTGAAGCTGTCTGGCAACAAGATGAGAGAAGAAGGAATCAGCTGTACGCCCATCTCCAGCAAAAGCAGCAGCAAACCAGTATTTGTTAGTGGGTTACTAGCAAAACCATTACTTTATCTAACTGGGCATCTGCTTTACTGCAGGCTCAAGAAAAGCAGCTGCGCAAAAACCAGCATGAGAGCAAACACAGGATGATTCCAGACACATTTTCAAGGCTCCTCAAGACCTTCTGAGAGAGGTCACAATGTGCCACAAAAGCCTTCTGCAAGGTGTGGATCCTGTTCGGTTTTTTTTTCCGCCCCTCATTACACCACAGTATTCAAGATCTGGATCTAGATCTATCAAGCAGTGCTTGGCACACAAAACACATGTGCTTTTCTTAAGTTTTTACCCTCCAAGACAAAAACAAAACCAGAAAAACCTCAACCCTAAGCTTGCAGATGCAGGCACGTGATAACAGGCAGCTCCCAGCAGACACTGGTCTCAGCATCACCACACTCAAGCACTTGCAGCATCCAAAGAAGGTCTGGGGATGTAACATGAACTCTGCCTCAATGAGATCTGAGTTCAGACTACATTAACACTGAGAAAAATAGAACTTTAGAGCTAATGGATAATGTGCCTTTGCTCACCTCACCACTTGTATTTAACAGTCTGAAATATTGTTATTGGCACCTACTGGTCACTCAGGAGAATAAACAAACCAGAATTTAGTTTCATTTGCCAGGATGACAGCTCAAACATGACTGTAAAGCTCATCAAGAACAAAGCTAAGTTAAGCGTAGGAAAGCTGCTCAGGACTTTGAAAGCTGAGAAATAACTGGGTTTTAGTAACTTCAGGTTTGAAGACAAGCCCTCAGTTAATTCAGAAACTAAAGGGCACAGGCTTACAAAACAAACCAGCACTCTCAATTGTACGAGCTAAGCATTAACCTTCCTGTCCTGGGTTCACCTGTAGCAGTCATTTTTCTCCTTCTTGGTAGCTGGTGCAGTATTGTGGTTTCTTTCACAAACTGATGGGGTTTGTATTATAGTTACTGAACTGTTCTTACCTCAACCCATGGGGTTTACATTCTTTTGCTTATCCTCCCCTGGAGAGGAAGAAAGAGGATATGTAAGCAAGCAGTTGCATGTTTTTGAGTTACTAGCTGGGCTTAAATCATGACACTTTCCCTAGATTGCAGTCTTCTGCCGAGACCTTTGATTTAAACTAAGCCAATAAGTAAGCTTAGATACAGCTTGTAAAACAAATTTTATTCTTTATTAAAGTATTAACAATTCTATATTAAAAAGCATCAGCAGTCAAGATAGGAGTAAAACGTTTTCAGAGCATTTCTTGACTTCTGAAAACTTGAAAAAACACTGTATTTTAAACAAAGTGAAGAAACTGAAGTTAGAAGTTTACTAATACAAATCTAGGTGTGCTTAAAGAGAAACAATAGTAGAGATCCAATTATTTAGGTCCTAGGTGACATTTTGATCTTTTCTGTATCATTTTAGCAAGCTCTTTTCTGAAAAAAAATAAGCTATTTTCTCTTTACAGACATGAACTGCCTTTATTTTCCAGACAAGTAAAGTAGAACGTAGAAAGGTCAAGTAACCTGACTGACAGAGATCTAGAACAGGCTGCTCCATTCAAGATGCCTGCACCCAGTTCATTATCTAGCCAGGAGACTGCAGTCCCTGCATGCAGCTTCCCTATCTGGAGTCAGCCAACACTGCTGACCACAACGGGTAAAAAACCTGATGCAATCGACAAGTTCTGTCTTCCAAAATATTACCCGTATCTGCCCTGGCACCAAATCATTCACTCTTGAACTGAGAATCCCATGACCTGCTTTCCTCCAGATAATGAGCTCCTTCACCCCCACTATTCCAGCCCTCTGGCCTCTCCCTGCTTCTTCATGGAGCTGATCCCTAACAAATTTTACCCCAAGCCTCATAATAGCTGTTACTGGAAGAAGCCCCCAGTAGTTTAGTCTGTGGTTTCCATTCCAGCTATAAATTAATGCACATAGGAATACAATGACAAAGCACGTTTCTGCCTATCAACAGTGGCAGGAAAATACCAGCCTTTCTTGTCAGAATTTGTGCTGTATTGCTCTTTATACATTTCCATGATTAAGGTTTCTTTCCTTTAGGAATCTTTCCATTCTCCTTTCCTGAAACTGAGTATATCATGGGGTCATTGCAGGGCATCATTTCATTTTAATTGCAAGTTTAACATCACAACTCAGCTCATATTTCCAGCAGTTCCCAGTTTATCTCAGCTTCATCCAAAGTGAACTTGCTGTGCAATGAGCTCATGTGCAGATGTAATCCAGAGCTGAAGATTTCCTTGAGACACTTCCCTTAAAGTTTTATTTTTGCCTCTCCAGAGCTTTCTACCCTCTGCTGAATGGCACAGAGCAAGCCAGTTCAGAGCACAGCCAAGTTCCAAATTGTTCTCTCTTACAACAAACTTCTCAATACCAGATTAAAAGCTTCCTTCTCTCTGCTATCTTCAAAGGAAAGTAAGTCACTTCTGTGGAAATCCCTGCGAGCATATAGTGGGTGAAGCCACGCTAAACTCTAATCTGGGTTATTGGGTTCAGGGTAAAGGGGATAGAAAATTAAAAGGAAAAATGCCAAAGAAATATTTTTGATGCCAGGAAAATAAAAAAAACAAACAAACAAGCAAAATCACACAAACCATCCCCAAAACAAACAGAAACTAAACAGCTGCAGTCAGCTGGAGCCATTTGATGCAGGTAGCTGTGCACAGACCTGCAATCAGATAAGCACTCTGATCTCAAGCAAGTTCCCAACTACCTGACAAATACCTTTACATTAACATTTCAGATCATTAACCAAACGGAATAAATATTTCCCTCTGCAACAGCAAGTGGAGAAAGAAGAGAGGAGGTCTCTGCTTGCAGCCAGCAAGCTCTGCCTTGAATGGAAAGAATCTGAGCAAGACATTTTCCACAGATGTTCATGGAAAAGTATTCCAGAGCACTGCTACATTTTAAGCCTATTGTGGCAGGAAACACTGAAGTTTCATGTGCGCAGTCCCCAGCTCACATATAAAAAGCTTAGAGGCCTCCTGCCATTCAAGTAGATCACATTGCACAATGCATGTGCACACTGAAAAACTCTCCTTGAAACATCACTCTGAGATCTGGGAGGCAGTCAAACTGGAGGGAAGGATTTCCAGCCCTAACAAGTTTCCCCACCCTGTATCAAAGGGGAATCAATAAAAACAACCGAGAAAGAAGTTCCTCCAACCACTAAAAGCTTTATGTAAAGCCCTTTTAAGAGCTTTCTTCTTCTGAAAATGTTGCTTCTACACCCATCACCTCCCCACTTCATTTCCCATGGCACAAGCTGAAAATGCTAAGTCCAGGCCTTCAGAGTATGGAAGAGACTGCAATACCTTCTGGGTTTTGAAATTATACTGCCTTGTTATATCCTCTCCAGCAGCCACAGTTAAAATGTCTATTACACTTGGAGAACCTCAGAAGTCAGTGCAATTGACTTAATAGTTTCCCTATTAAGGATAAACATACTCTTAAGCTACTCATCACCCTCCCTTAAACTCAGGATTTAGCAGAGCGGTGCTCCCAAGCTTTTACAGTTGCATGGAGAGCTGCACGCCATTGCTTTTTCTGACCTTTTCCTGTTAGTATTTTCCCTCCAGTTTTGGGCACCCTCTCATTCTCCCCAGAAACCACTAGCTACCTCAGCAGTTTCACCATTCCCATTCGGAAAAATCTGGCACCAACTTCTTTTTCTGAAGAACAAGTCTGACAGCTGCCTGCACGACAGGATGCAAGACGAAGGCGTGATATCTGAGCTGTGCTTTTATGGCTGCTCCACAACTTTGCCATTTAACTCCAACTCCCTGACTCAGTCTCATTTTGCATCAGAGACAGTGCACCTCAGCAAAACCAAAGTAACACACCCACAAAACGTCTTCTGTCTCGTATACCTGATTCCAAACAATTTTCCAAATAATAATTCCACAGTTATTCCATTCTGTGCTCAGCATGTGACCTCATCATGCCTAGAGATGAATGCCCAGCAGGGATATCTGAGCAACAACTGAAGGACATGAAGTTCATCCATCAACTGAAGAAAGGAAGGTATTCCAAGCCAGATTTTAATACATGCCAAGATTATTTTGGGAAATAGGTCTCCAGTAAATTGTGCTTGGGATCTCATTTCTCCCTTCGTTCTTTTGTAAAGAATGAAAGGCTGCAAGGGTTTCAGGACCATCCCTCCCCCCTTCTCCAGCCCTACTACTGGAATTCACACATTCCCAGGGCAGTTCTATGGACTGCCTCCCTTTCTTCAATCCACACTCCAGAAATCCTATCTGAGTGAAGAGGCTGGGAATGTGATAGCAAAAAGAAGTCAAGACTAAAACAGTCACACTTCCCTCCCTTGCATAGCTCCCAGGTTTCTCTCTGAACCATGGATATTAATAGCATACCACCAAACTTTTTGGATGGGAGTTCAAAGTGACATCACACAAGCAATGCTGGGAGACATACCACTTTTGTGCAGGAAAGCTTCCACATAAGGGTTTTGAGGGGATTGGGACAGATTTCATTCTTGCTGGTTTCTTGCATCATCCCTTTGCAAATGCTGCATTCCCACTGTGCCTGACCCAGGTATCAAGAGTAATAAGGCTAAAACTACACAGCGATGTCCTCACTGCAAGGCTGTGCCCCTACACTCAGCCCTTGTCCTTTTCCCAGCGTGCCTAGTATTATAAGGAAGTGCAGTTTTCAGAAGTCACCTCATAGAGAATAATTGCCTTAGTTATGGATGCAATTGTAAGTCAGGCTGTTCTTGCCTAGTCATAGATACACCTCCTAAATGCCCTATAGTGCTGTTACAAGAATAGAATATAAGAATGTGGAATAGCTCATATGAAGAACAAGGGATGTGAGAAGAGACCTTCTTCCAAGCTGTGTTTGTGAACAGCAATGGGTGAGTGCAGAAGGTGAGTGCTAGAGAGTTCCAACATAGAATGCACCTTTGAGCTACGCTGAGAGCTCTTCAAAAGTGCCCAAGAGGTCACCAGCTTAGGTGACACCTCCACTCATTAGCACACCACCTTTATAAAAACAACTCCCAAGGCATCCCTCCCACGCAATAAGAAGTCAGTGTTAACATGCATCTCCAATGATCTAAACCAATGCTGTTTCTCTCTACCTCCCCGTAAAAATATACCAGGACTGGCAACAGGTAGGCTTCGCTACAGCTGAAGGGTTAGGGTTTCAGCTCTGGGTACTGATATTCATCCCAGTTTGCGGAGTTCTGTAATCCAGCCACAAGGGGCCTCTAAGGGCTTCCAGTGTCAGGATACACTTGCTGAGATGTTACTGAAGTGTTGCAGTTGTCTTGACCTGCCCATTTTCTGCAATTACATCAACAGGAAGGTGTGCTTAGGTAATCTACTGCTATCCTGATCAAGTCTGTTTTGGAACAGAAATCCAGTTTATATTAGTGTTCTACCAAAGCAGCCACTACCTAACAGCAATCTAGTGATAAAGCTGGTAAATGTGGCAGCAGTTATTCCATACCAAGAACCAGCTCTGAACCTGAAGGACCATAAATACTGCATTAGTAAAGAAAAACCCAGGTGTTATGATTACAGTGAAGTCAATAAACATCTTTCTGTAAACAAGCAATAGCACAAAGGACACAAGTACCACCAAAAGAGGCAGGCATAGCTCTCAGCCATCATACCATTTGGATACCCCTTCCATGTTCCAAAGAGTAGGTATTTCCCAGAGACAGACTTTCTGTCTCAGACACACCGCTGCCAGATTCTATACCAACCTGACATCTGGAAGTCTATCTGGATAGGGTTGGATAAGCCATTCACTGCTTCACGCCACATGCCACCACCACCCGGAGACCAGGCAGTCACCACACAGCGATAGAGCCCAGCATCAGAAATCTGGGTCTGATACATCCTGTAGCGGAACTCATTCTCCTGGACCTTCTCCAGCACCACACCATCCACACGAGTCTGGTCTGTCCAGTCTTCCAGCCGCACTACTGAATCCTGGTTCAAAGAGATGATGCGAGTAGTTCCATTGGGATTCGACTGATCTGCTAGTGGCTTCTCAGCTGTAATGAGGACGGAATAGCGCGGTGTCTTGATGTTTTTTGAAGACACTTTGCATGTCATCTCAAAGGTGTGGCCTGCTACAAAGAATGGCTTCAATTTCACCGCCTCCACTGTGAGTGTGTAATCTGAAGAGGGAAGGAAATAAGCCGCAAAAGAGGGGTTAATACAATAAATATGTGCAGAAATTTCTGCAGCAACTTTCAATCCAGAAGATTACAAAGAAGCAAAGTACAGACAAGTCCCAGCACATTTATCTTAACACGTATGGACATCCCAGAATGCTACTCAGCCGCATGCGTACACCAGTACACACCAGTTTGGGTCAAGATGCAAGATTTTAAACAAACACACACCAAACACTGAACAATTAATGCAATACACAGGTCACAGCATGACAGGACCTCCAGGGTTTTTTTATTCAAAAGATATTAGTCATATAAGATTTAGAGTCCTAGTTTGTCACCGGATGAGGACACTGCTAGAGTATTCGTGACTAGTGACAAAAGCTGCCACTAACTGAATGGCATCACTTAGTGTAGCTTCCTTTATTTCCCTGAAAACCTAACAGCAATACAGACCCACTCAGCTGAACTTCCAAGATTAGTTGAAACTGCATGATAAAGAAGTTGGGGGTAACAGAAGTCTCCATCCCCAGCACCTCCATATACACACCCCTCTGCATTTAAAAAGAAAGGTTCAGTAAACCTCTGCCTCCATCTCCATGTTCTTTTCTCTTGCTTCTCATGTATTCACCCAAGTACAAACCTACCAGAAGCCTTGATACTTCCTAACAGCCCATTTGGCAGAAAGAATGCCAGTAACTCTTGTTTCATTTCCTTCCCTTTCTTCAGCATTCTCCAAAGTCTGCCAGCTCCTCAACCCCAAGAATCCCTTAACTACAGGGTTAGAGAAAATTATACATCTCGGAGCATAGCCTCAAGACACAAAAAATACAAGCTCACAGGGAGAATATGAGGACTGACTGAAATCAGAACCACATAAATGAAAGGGAGTTGCTTGTTTCCTGGCACTGTGATGAAGAGGCACCCTGCACACCCAGGTTCTTCCCAAGGGAGGGAGGGCTGAGGCATAATAATGTAGCTTACAGTCTGTCCTGGGTTCAGCAGTAGCAGTCATTTTTCTCCTTCTTGGTAGCTGGTGCAGTGCTGTGTTTTGACTTTCGGCCTGGGAACAGAGCTGATAGCGATGTTTTGGTTTGGCCAAGGACTTTCTCAGTCTCATGCTCTGCCAGGGAGGAGGGGAAGCCGGGAGGAAACAGAGACAGGACACCTGACCCAAGCTAGCCAAAGAGGTATTCCATACCACAGCACGTCATGCCCAGGATGTAACTGGGAGTTAGCCGGAAGGGCTGGGGGACTGCGGAGTTGGAGGAGGTATGGGTCGGTGCTTGGTCGGGCTGGGGGGGGGGGGGGCAAGTTATTGGTCAGCTGGTGCTGAGGTGTTGTATTCTCCTCCCTTGTTATTTCCTTTATCATTGTTATTATTGGTTGTAGCAGTAGTGATCTGTGTTATACCTTAGTTACTAAACTGTTCTTATCTCAACCCGTGGGAGTTGCATTCTTTTTGACTCTCCTCTCCATCCCTTCGGGAGTAGGGGGAGGGCAAGAAGGGGGGGAAAGTGAGTGAACAAGCTGTCTGGCTGGGTTTAAACCACGACACAATCACTTCTCAAAGTAGCAGTGTTGCAAAAATAGTCAGTCGGACTTTCTGGGCTTACTTTGGTGCATCATAATTTCCCTTCTCCCCTTTATAAAAAAAAAAAGTGTAGACATGTTAAACAAAAAACTACACAGATCACTTTCATGCAAGGTGGAACTTCTCAGGAAAAGGGAAATAAGCAATGGTGAGATTGCAACACATCCCCCAAAAACGAAGTAAATTCAGTAATATTTATGCCCTCCCCACAAGAGCAACAAAGATAACTTGTCAAGATTACATTTCGCAGTGATTTTGCCTTCAAGCAGCAGTTTTCACAATGAGTAAACGCAGCCCACAACCGGGCTATGACAACTTTAAATCAGTACTGTATAAAGCATATCACAGTACAAAGCTATATTAAGAAACACCAGGAGTGATGAAGGCTGAGCTGCTTCTAGTGGTCTAGCTGAGCGCAGAATTACTTGATACTGCACACCAAAGCGCCATCACACTTCTACCCACTAAGTAGGAATATAAGAATGGCACATTTAAGCACACAGGGTACAATCACAATTGAAGTTGCACACATAGAGTCATTCTCCACTCCCTTGTGAGAGAGCTCATCATGCCTATGATTCTAGACTTCAAATCCATTTTTATCTCATTATGTGTCCATGAGATTCTGCTATCACCTTCTTCATAAGGTTGCAGCATTTAGAAGCCAGCACAGATCAGCCTGCCACATATTTTAGGAATATAGTAGACAATTATACTTTGCTCCACAAACAGAATAGCAAACAGCTAAGCTGTACTTTCCTGCTGCATATTGCTGCTTTTTAGGCCTTATGAGAAGGCTCTGGGCAAAAATTCTTCCTGATGCAAGCATTCTTTGTGCTGTCAATTTTCATGTCAGAGCACTGTGTCCTAGACACCCAAAAGAAATCTTGCATTTGGTCTGTCATACATGTGCTTAAGAAAAACACTTCCACATGATCATAGCAGTACAGATGTAGCTCAGAAGAAACAACTTGCCAAAACTGTTCTCCTCCAGTAGCAGCAGATGAAATTAGCATTCCAACACCCTTACCTAAAAAAGCAAGTAGTTGTCTCTGCATGTTACGAGAAAGAGAAGAGACCAAAGATTTGGCACTTAGTTTAGAAATAACAGTAATCTGCAAGGGAAGTTAAGTGGGAAAGAAAAGTTTCTTCATATTTCCTATATTAACAGAAACTATCCATCAGATCTTATAACGTAAGAGGGGCCAAAGACACCAAAGAACATTTTCCTCCAAGAACTACAGCTTAAGATCTCATTTCTACTCTAAGAATTTTTTTGCTCAGGAAGAGCTTCCTGTCTGTTACTATGCAGTGTGTTATACACCAGCAAGGGTTAAGTCAAATGGGTGTAGGCATATCACCTGTTTTCTATTCACAGGGCTTTCTGAATGATTAAGATGCCCTTACTCCCAATTAAATGTGATGGGAAGGCCTAGGCAAGCATTTAGCACAAGTAGCATTATGTTAAATACAATTACTTTGTAAATTAAAGACAGAAGTATTAACTAAACCCCAAATAATCCTTTGGGATTTAGAATTTCAGTTAAAAGATAATGTTCTCTTTTGCAAAGAGTTCCATGCAGAACTAAAGTTGAAAACACTGGTTTAGGAAAAAAAGCACCAGGTCTTTTAAAAAAAACAGTAACTGTTTTTTAAATGCTGGCAGTACTCACATTCAGTAAATAAAATTATCTTTTAAACTACTGAACTCTTTCCTGGGTTGAAATTCATCTACAAAGCCAGTCAAAAAAGTCTTCCTCCCTTCCTTTGCCCCTTTTTACTGATTGGAATTTGTACTCTAAGAAAAAAACAACATAATTGATACTTTTCATTTTTGAGGTGATATAAAGATGCTTTCTTTGTCACCTTGGCAGGGAAGAGGGTAAAACAAAGAAGTGAAACGGAAGAAACAAATCAGGCAGACCATGTCAAAATCAATGGTGATCTATGATAGCAACTGGCTGCATTTGTAAAGTTGAGTAAGCAGAGAGACGTGAGCATTATTGGTCCCAGTGGAACAAAATAGAAAAAGATGACAAAAAAACTATAAAGTTCTTCTTATATGACACACAAAAAGGACTGACATCTTCACATGGTGTTTACATTTCAAGCAAAGGCATCCTTATCCCAAATGTCCTCTGTGCTGACTGACCCACCAACACAACATGGAACCATTACTTTTTTATCAAAACCAGCCTTTTTCAAAGTGAGATTTCTCTGAAGTCCTTGGAGCACTGCTCTGAAGTTAACACAGAGAATGAAAGTAACGAAATTGTTGGGAAGAAAAGCCTCTATGTAGGCACAAGCTACCTAAGGAAGAGGCAAGTTTCTGTTGTCTCCCTAGGCAAACTCACGGGAATCTGCTGGGAGATTGGGACCAGAGATGCTTGTCAAAATAACAGTCAGAGAGCACAGGCAGCAGCAGATTAACTCCTTCATAGTTGCTGGCTACAGCACTGGGCTCACAGCCAAGTCCGGAGCTCCATGAATAGGATATGGAGAGGGACAGGGCATGCAGAGAAAGGCAACTGCTGAAAGCTGGGGGGGAAAGGGAGGATGTGCATGAGGAGTGGAAAAGCAGCAGGGGAAATCAAACCCTCATATTGTTTTCCTCCCCCCCCTTATACATATATAACATGCTTTTTCAGGAGGAGAAAGTGCTTGTAGGAGAGCTCGCTTTCAGATCATAAATATCCCAACTCTGAGTTTTGCCAACAAAACATATTTTTCAGCATGGAGACTGTAACATTTACATTTGTGTTGCAGAATCAGCAGCTTTTTTGGAATAAAACCAGAAACAAGGGAATGTTCACACCTGTCATGGTTTGTTTTCCCTCAGAAATGTCAACACAGGCTGAGACTTTTCAACTCCAGCTGGTCTTCCTAGCTGTTCCAAAGGCAATGATCCATTACACATGCACGCACATACATGCTCTGTGTTATGCCACAACAACTGAATGGTGACCAGCATTCAGCATTAATGAGAGATCTCATTGCCGCTGGAGAAGTCAGCTTCAGAGGGGAAAAAAAAACAAACAAACAAAACCAACATAGAATCACAGAATCAACTAAGGTGAAAAGACCTTTGTGGACCATTCTGTGGATGAAGTGGATACTGAGCAAGCAGCTCACCATTTCTCTTTCCACTAAAGCAGAATCACAGCAGAAGCTCTCCAGTTTGCTGATTAGGGATTATCACTAAACTGATTTCAAAATACTTGTCTCTGAAATAAAGTTCTCTGCCTGTGGATGCCTGAGCTAGCCCACTTCAGCCTGAAAAAAGGCCCCAATCCATGCAAATCACTGAATTACTTAGACCATCAAAAAATAAGTGGGGAACAGAGCAATCTGGTACTACTGTGCTCATGAACTTCCTCGGAAGTGTGTTCTAAACATGGGCTTATAGGAAAGAGAAAAAAAACGCCTCAAATGGTCAAACAGAAGACTGAAAGTGAATGACATTCCTCTCTTCACCTCAAGACAACCATGTTGCTAGCAGAAAGATGCAACCCATAGAGATCATAACACTCCACGTAATGAAAGGGTACAATGACCCCAGCATAGTGATGCCACACCTGCCACAATGACAGCCTGGCTCCTGGAAGTCTCAGCACAGGTTCACTGACATACCTCTGCTTTGCACTTCCACTCCAAACTGTTGCATAAAACTGGTGAGTGCTGTTAAGTAGCTACTTCCCTCCACAAATAAGAGGCCTTTACACTATGCGGTACTTTTTATCTTCTTTATAACACAGAACCCATTTCCAAAGCCCATTAGCAAGCTTTCAGCAAACAGGTGCAAGATTCCTACCTTGTGTTGCCCAGAAAATACTGACAGATGCAGAAGTCACATCTTTACTCTTTACCCAGCTGTTGTTTCGGTGCCTGCTCCACGCAGAGATGACACAGAAATAATCCCCTCTGTCGCTTTCTGAAGTCCACTGGATTCGGAAACTGAAGGTGTCAACAGCCTTTTTAGAGAATATAATTTCCCCATTCTGAGTTTGCTGTCTGCTCCTGTCCCCAAGCTGCAGAGTCCAGTCTGTGTCCATGGTGGCCAGGAGTTCCGCTGTCACCACATCATCACTGCGCAGGCGTTGTCTGTAGTACCAGGAAACCGTGAAGCGGATGTTTGCTTCAGTGTCCTGTGCATTTGTGATCCTGCAGTTGAGCTCTGTGGGGTCATCTGAAAACTTGGGTATTTTAGAGGCATTCAGAAACACCTCATAGTCTGGCTCTGCAGGAGAAGAAACCCAGAAAAAGAAGATGAGGAAAGTGCCAGAGCTTATTAAGAGATATTTCTAACTTCTAACATCATTTCTGCAAAAGTACCTGAGCTAGAAGCCAAATGTCAGAATATGAATTTTTCTTACAAGACCTGGGAACGGTGAACTTTGACTCTAGCTCTCAGACTTGCACCAGTCTGACACAAGTACCCTGAAGCCCGCATTTCTGAATAAGAGTTTCTATTTTGTATGTCTGGTCACACCATTTCAGAAAAATCAGGACTAAGATCTTGTTGAGCAAAATCATCCCCTTCTTTAGGCCTAGCCCCGAGAACCCACCATGTGGGTTCAGTTTCAGCTCAGGCAGTCACCTTCTGCACCTAATCGAATGCCTGAGGGCAGCCTGCAGCAACAGGGGAGTTATTCTCTAATTTTGGATTAACCAAAGACATCCCATTTCCCCAGTTCTTCTCTAGGATAAGAGGCCATTTCCCATCCTGAAGTGCCTCTTTTCCACACTTAACCATCCCATTATGTCTCTACAATACAGTTTAAGAATGTTAAAAAACAACCAGTAAAAACCACCTTGCCCACCCAGACACCAAAACCAGGGGGCTTGGGTACCACCACTGGCACTCGCCACAGGCAGCACCAAGAGTGGGGCACAGTACATTTCAACAGGCAGCATAATAAATACTAAATAGGTGAAGAGGCAAAAATCAGAAGAGCTTCACAGTCTGAAGAGAAGTACATCCTATGCAGCTGTGAGACTGGAATACCTCAAGCTTGAAAAGGAGTGCCTGAAATTCATGGGTTAAGAACAGGGCTGTTGTATTTAAATCTGAAATAGCTGGCTGTCCAAAGCCTAAAAGCGATAAGGCAGCCACGTGACTATTTTCTCTCAGACTACAGAGATAGTAAAGGAAAAAGATTACAGCAACAACCTCACACCACAAAGGAAATACATATTTATTTACTAGTGTTAAAATATTTTTCTGCCCTCTGTCTACTATAATTCAGAAAAAAAAAGACTAGATATCCAACTGTTTGGCCAGCACTCATCACAGGGCTTTTACATTGTGTTCAGTGTTCTATATTTATTTTTTGCTTTACGTTTTACTTGGCATTTTGCCTTCCTAGAAACAATTAACTGAAGCTATAATTGGGACAGAGACTGCAATCCAAGGCTAAAATTTAGGCTTAGCTCACCAATGAGCCAGGATAATAATAAGCATCTTCATAGAACTGCTGTGCAAATTGTGTGTGCACACACACTTTCAGACTTCGGATGCAAAGGAAAAAAACAAGTGTATCAAGCAAGCTGGCTGCTTGTAGAAAAGATTTCTCACCATTAAGTGTTCTGCATGCAGTGCCTTTGCATCCAGCAAGAACAAGGGCATTAATACACACCAGACACAAGAGATGCTGAGTATCTGCAGTGTTAAAATCATAAAATTACTGTTTACAGAAGTCTGTAGTATGTACTACCATTGAAAATAGTGCTAATTTCTGCACATTTTCAGTGTAAGCAAGGCAAAATAAAAATCTATGCAATCAAGGCATAGATTATTAATGGTGATCAAACATCACTTTTAAGCCCCCATAGATCCTACAGCTACACTACTCTTCCTGTCTCTCTCAAAAAACACTGTTCTTCTCCAGGGCCTCATGATATATTGGTCATGCTCTGCAATTTTCTTAGCACTCCCCCCACTCCCCCTCACCTTCCCTTCCCCCCCCCCCCCCCCCCCCCCCAAAAGAAGGCTTTCAATACCAATTAATATTTTCAGAGCAGCAAACACTATGAAAGCAGAGACTCTTCTCTAGACAGGAACACAAGGAAAAATCTTCAAGAAACTCGCTTTCTCAGAAAATCGCTTCAGGTTTGTTTTATTTGCAGGCAGGAGAAGGACCATTAAGAGAGTTTTGGCTCTGACAGCACCACTCCAGCTAGGCACTTCACCCTGACAGACACTCAACCAGAGGATTTAGAAAGAATAAAAGGATGGCTAGATAAATCTCATTCCTCTGCTCTGTCAGCTGTCAAAGAACAGCCTCACTGGTAGTTCAATGACTTAATACTCTAGCAGCTCTTAACATCCATTAAGGAGGAGTTGGTGAATTCTGTATGCAGTTAAAAACCTCAAATGCTGAAAATTTATTCTACTTTCCCTTGCCCTAACAACCAAGCAACTGCTGAAGAGCAGATTTTATTCTCTCTTGCTCTAAATAATGCCAAATTGGAATGGAGAGTGTAAGGAATAGTTCTACAGGTACAGGCACTACAAGAGAGTACATGAGTGGGCAGTGCACCTGTGCGTACATGAACACATGAGCATGCATGAGCGTGTATGCAAGTGGGGGAAGAAGGGAACACTTACAAATTTAATATGCAATTTGAATGGCTGAATGAGGACAGGAAAAGAAGACATTTATCACTTGAGCACTTCTAGCACACATTACAAGTAGACGTGGAAACAGCCACGGCTCAACTACTCTGTACAATGGTAAAATGCAAAATTTAAAGTAATTGTTACTGGGTTTTAACCTTTTTATGCAGCTATTTACTTCTGAAAACCAGACTTCAGAGCAGACTCTCTATATATTGGGCTCATTCAGTACATTTATGTTGGAGGAACTCTGCCTTTGTAACCAGACAGCACCACCAGTTTCTGGTGACAAGAGGCTCTGAACAGGTACATTGAGAGGGTTTAGGTATGGATACTTGCATCCAATCAAAGCTGGGAACAAGCACCAAGCACTACAGCTCTGCCAGTTCTCCCCCAGCTCCCATCTAGGCTCATTCATGTTTCCAACACAACCAAGAGTTTGTCAATTTTAGCAGGCACAGAAACCTTACCTACAGCATCCTGCAACATAATCTTGAGTTTCACTGCTTCTAAATTGAAGCTATTCTCTCCCCAGGATTAAGCTAGGAGACAGGACAGGCAGGCTGACCCACCCAGACATTCCTAAAATAACAGGGTTTTTAGAAATTTTGCTGGAGTTTAATTTTCAGTATTTCTCCCAAGCAACTTCTAAGGATATCTGGACAGAGTTCAGCTGGGATAATACAAAGCTTTTGCTTTACAATCTGCAGTATGCATATGAACCAGTGGATCTCCAAAACAGATTTGTCTTGGGAAAGGGGTATAGGAAAAGATAGTGTCAGGCTGCTCTTGTAGGCCAGGTAGATCAGAGTTGAATCTCTTTTACAGCTTCTGTTGCTCACCTAGTCAACAAGTCTTACATAGACAACTGTTAAACATGGCTGCTTCTAACCAGCGCCTTGCAAAACAATGTGGACATTGACAGTATTAGAGCTGTAAGAAAGGAAAACTGCAAAGAACAATTGGGAGGTAAAGGAAGGATAAAATAAAGAGATCATCAAGTTTATGTTTAAGTAGCTTCCCCACCCCACTGGTGAATTATAGGAACCTGCTGCAGAAACGCTGAACTAATGTATGGAACCCATAACCTCAAGTGCACAGATAATCCTTTTCTTGTCCAAAAGGCTAAAAATCCACTCACCTCTAGGACTACAAGATGAAAAATGCACCACACTGAGTAGGACATTAAATACCACAGAAAAATCTGTTTTAGTGGCCAGTGCTAATCAATAGCACTAGCATTAAGTTAGGCACCAGCCAGGTCTCTCTCACTCAGTCACACTACTCAACAGCTTTGTGACATGGTCTCAAAAAATTTACTTGTTTATAGAGGGAGGAGAATAAAACAGTATAAAGCCATGCTCCATTCTAAATCCACCAATAGGATGTGTGCCTCTCTAGCAATTAAAACAACAAAACAAAACCCAGCAACTTTGAAAGCTCTCATTATCAAGTTTCTATAGTTTTTATAATATGACTTGCAAAGATCAGAGAAAGCATCTGATACCACTGCATTCAGAGCTCAGAAAGAAATGTCTGTTGCTGGATCAGAGCCCTGCTAATGGTATGAGGGAAGTGGAAGGGGACAACATGACAAGAAGGGCAGCTTCAGGCCCTAGAAAACAAGGCAGGCTTTTAAGTTCTATTTCCCAGGTGCAGACTGTTGACACCAGAAAGTGGAATGCATAAGTGGGACATGCCGTAAGACCTATAATGTACAAATCCAAAACTCTGTAGCATCAGTATTTTTATATGTGAGAGAGATACTTTACATAGATAACAGGTGCAAGCAAAAGAGAAACTTGTGCAGAAGAGTTTCCGCAAGATCCTCTCTTGCAGGATCAAGATGGGACCAAGGAATGAGCGACATATTACCCATGAACTCTGAAAGCAGAATCACTTACCTAATGCTGTCACCATCACACTGACAGGTGCAGATGTTCTCTCCACCACCTTATGCCAACTCCCGTTATGCAGTGGCACCCAGACAGCCGCTTGGCAGAAGTAGTAGCCAGAGTTTCCCACATCCACATCGCGTACCAACAGGCGATAGGAGTTCCTATCAACATGGCTCAGGCTGATGAGAGTTGAATCGCTGACAACAGAATCATGGTTCACGCTCAGCAAAACCTGAGCATCTGACAAGGTAGCATCAGGTGATGCAGAAAAATACCACATCACCTCTGCTTGGAAAATACCACTCCGGTCTGTTGTGATGTTGCATGTAAGATCCAGGGAATCTCTTTCAGTCACAGACACATTGCTTGTTGAGATGACCACATCTAGAGCTTAGAAATGAAGAGATAAAAATTTAAAAAAAAAATTACTTTGTTTTTAAAGCCCACTGTAACTTATTCAGGACTTCATATTCTATTACAGAAGCTTTTGAAACTGCTCAGTAGCCTTACCTTCAAATGTCTGCAGTATATTGAGCTACATGATCTCAGGTGTGTTGCAGAGACATGAAACAAAAGCAAACAGAAGGCAGCAATAACTCTTTATACTGCCAACTCCTCCACTTACTGCTCTGACCAACACTCACTGTAGACTTTAAAGCAATGCCAATAGCCACTTAAAATACATCTGTTCTCCTCCACTGGCCACTATTTTTATGGCCAGCACATATGGTCATTAGCCAGCATTCAAATGGAACCTTCTGCATTCTGCAGGTTATCAGGCTAGCCACAGCTTGTTAAAAGAAACCCACGGAATGAAAGTTTCAAGACCAGGAGTAGAAAAGCTGGCCTTAGTTACTGGTTAGAGGTGAAACAGGGATGCTGTATGTGTTGTTTGTAAACCTTAATGCAAATCATTCACCAGGTCACCACGTCTTCACTTGCTCATTCCCTCATTCTACATTGCCTAAAGATTAGATTTGGATCTCAGCACAGCACCACTCCCACAGTTTGTAATGCAGCTGCTCTTAAAGTCTCAACTGAGACCAGTAGACAGGGCTGCTAGAGCAGTGGCTCTTCCCAGCAGATCTATGACAAAGACCAAAAGCAATAATACAGATTGCTGCCTTAAATAGGCAGCCATGACTCTGGTGCAAATTGGTGACTTCTATGTAAAACTATGTTCTACATAGTTTTTACAGATAGGTACCCATCTGTAAAAGCTTTCTAGGATTATCATCAGGAATGAGAGACAACTTCTGTCTTCATGAAATAGTGACAGGCATTCAGAATCTGGCAGTGAATGCATACAGAAGAACTCTAAAAAAAGAGTTTACCCATACATATATTCTCAAATGCTTTTTTTGCTGTTGTTACAGACATGTCTAAAGGCCTCAGTTATGTACCTAATGTGCAAAGCACTATTAAAAAAAGACATACAAGAACAAAGTTGGGCCCATAGACATCATGATTTTAGGAGACAGAAGTGATGAGCAAGTAGATAGAAGAGCAACAGAAAAAAAACCCTACTACACAGTTACACAAGTAACCTGTGCATGAATTTGTTAGAGATGTTAATTCATCTTTTAGTTTGGGATTTTTAATTTTGTTTCTACAGATTTAACTCTACAGGTTACAGCAGGTGAGAATGAGGAAAGTGAAACTACCAGGCATAGCTGATTGTTTCATTTAAAACTTCAAGTTGCATTTACAACTTCAAGTCCTACTACAGGATGCATGGGTAAAAATTCCCACGTTTTGCTGGAGTGTAACCTATTCCATTTAGCATAACTTTAAAAAAAGCCTCCATGTCCCAACAGAGTGCCAGTGCCTGAACTAAAAAGGAAGGCAAATACTTCACTAACAAACAAAAAACAAACACAAAGAAAACCACACATCCAAACCACATTAAAAAACTGCACTGGTCCTGGCTATCTTCCTGGTTTTAGCCATTGATTAAACCCCACCTACTTAAACCAAGCTCTTCAAAAGTGTGACAAAATAGAGAATTACAGCTCTTAATTAAGCAAGGCCTGCCTCAGCAGAAAGCACCTGCAAGCTTTACTGCGTAACAGGCACCCTGAAAAAGAGGACACAGATTGATCCTGTCAGATTTCACAGTCTAAGTACCATCAAGGTACTAAAACTACATCCAGATGAGATACCAAGAAAAACCCAGCAGTTCTGGTTTCTTCCTATAGGGATTAAAGGATTACAAAACTGAAAAGATAGCCTTTGAAGTGTCTGAACACTTTTAAAATTGCGTCATAATCTCACATATCTGACGTACAATCACTGCCTGTTTTTCCACCTCTTGAATGTCAAGATGCATCACCCCTCACTTTCCCTCCTCCAGCTAGCAGTGGTAATGCTAATACAATTAAGTGCTTAGGTGTATCTATTGCTGACACCAGTATGGGCAGGGATATCTGGATATCTTCTGCACAGCACAATATATATTTTTGTCTCCTTAGTCAAGAATGCAATGTTGTGTTTAACAGAACCATTATTGTCCTAGACCCCTGCCAACACAATGGAGCAATCAGACCAGTGATCCAGTGCTCGTGATAAAAATCACTGGATAATTTGTCATGTTAAATTATCACTGCTTATCTTGTTCTTTTTATGATTTTTTAATAAACAACATACAGGAAAGCTTCATATCTGTCACTGAATCACAAGCGACTTTTACAGGGGAAGTCCAGTTGTTTAGTGCCATGGGACAGCCCTGTGGAGTGAGAGAGCAGAGGGAAGGTTTGGAGTGCTCAGGGGTTAAATACAATAAGAAATATAAAAAAAAAAAAAAACAGAAAAAATCTGACGTGAACTAAGCATGAGATAAAATCTTGATCTAGGCATCTAAGAAGTCCAAGTCAATGCTTCCATGCATCATCCCCCTTCTCCCCAAAATAGAAGCTAGAAAAAAATATGTCAAGCATTTTCTATCAGCTCAGATATAAACAGACCAGATCTCCAAACAGTACTCTAGGTTCTCCTGGAACACAACCTCATTTAGTTCAGCTCAGCCAGTTTCTGCTCTCAAAGTATCACAGTATAGACAGCACTGCTGTAGCTACAAGGTGTGACCCCCAGCCCATAAGTAACACTCACCAGTGGGCTGGATTGCCACACTTGCTATCTCCACGCTCTTCTCCTGAATCTTCTGCCATGAGCTATCTGCCCCTCTTACCCACTCACTCACAAGGCATCTGTAGACACCCTCATCCACTGACAAGGCCTGGGACACAGATAACCAGTATGCGTCATTTGCCCCCGTGTCCAAGCGAATATCTCCATTATGGTAGCGCTCTTCGTAGCCAGGGCCTGGCTGGAATTTGCCCTCATGAGTCAAAGACAGGATATCGCACCAAGTTGATCCATTTTTGCTCTGCCAAGTCATATGCAGATGAGTGTGCTCTTGTGAGGTGGTAATTGCTGAGCAGTGCAGCTTGAAGGAGTCACCCTCAGACAGCCTGAGAGACACTGAGGAACGTGCTTTTGAACCACTCACGGATAAGCCATCGGAAATCACTATTAAAAAAAAGATCAAAGACACAAGCATCATAAAACAGAATCAAAAAAAGAACACTCAAGCTGACCTTTCCAGATATAAGGCAATAAAACTGCCACAGAGAAACACTTGGCCAATCATTCCTTCTTCCACACATAAATATATTCAAGGAACAAGGAAATTCAGCTGAAAATCCATTAAAAGGAAGTGCTTCATTTGAAACAAGCCAAGACAAGCATTCAAATTCATTTATCTTTCCCCTTACTTTAGTTTCTTATCCAAACATCATCATTTTGACTATTCCCATCCAGAAAACCATCTTGATTTTCATGGGAGTAAAAGATAAAGAGACTTGAAAAAAATAGCCTCCTAAGTTATTACTGAAGAGCCCTAAATGAGAGAGCAAAGTTAGGATATGACTGCAGTATCATCATGCTAAAGAGGAAAATAAAGATTACTTCTTTCATTCAGAAGGATCCCTAAATGACGCTATAAATGAAAGAGAAGACAGGCTGGTTTTTACCTGAAGTTAGCCTCTCTACCCAGAGGCTTAGGGATATTAAATATTTGCAGACATCTTCAGAAATCTTTCTGCTTAGTTTTCCCATTTTTATTTACGTCTTTACTAGACAGAAACAAGTAAAGTGGTGTTTATAGTAAACAGCCTCTCTTTGTTTCTTCACCTCACTTGCCTTTGCTATCACACTTCCCAACTTTTGATGCTGGCTTTAGAAGAATTAAACAGAAACAAGAAGAGGAGGAAAAAAATAATCACAATGCTCATAAGCAACAGAAGTTCAACATTCTTAAGAGCACATCTATAATCAATATCAAAAACAAATTTAGAGCACACCTCACTCTTCAGAAATACCTTTCACTTGGACCTCCGCATCATAATTTCCCTGAACGGTGGCATCAGTGCTGGGTGTGGAGCATTTATATCTCCCTTGATCAGTTGGCTGGATGTTTCTAATCACAAGTTCCACAGCATCATTGCTGATCCGTCTCAGTTTGATATCCCCGTAGCCTACGCGGTTTTGGTACTCCTCAGAGGTGAATGTAGAATCCCAGGTACTCACTATCCTTAGGAAGTCAGTCTCCTGGGAGAATTCCCAGTCAAAGTTCTGTTCACTGGGTCCATCGTAGTCACTAACACTGCAAGGGATCTCCACCTCCGTTCCCACGACTCGAATAAGAGGACCTTTGGGAACCCTCACAACACGCCCTCTGCAGACGGCTAGGCAGGAAGATAGAGAGAAAAACACACAGTTAACAAAGGAATTACCAGGACAGCATAGAATAAGATTGGGAATCTCACTGCAGAAAGCTAGAAGTAGTAAAACCACTATTTCCCAGTAATTTGTAATCTCATTGGAGCAGGAGAACTTAAACGCTCTATTTTTATAGAGTACAATCTTTGTTTCATTACTTAACACATAAATAACAAAATACTGCAAGAGAGAAAACTATGAGGAGGAAGAAAAATAAAAAATAAAAAAAAGTGAGAGAAGTAGCCATAGATCCAACGTGTACCAGTTTCTCTACTACAAGCTAAGTGCTATTCAAGATGCTTAAACACCACTAATAAGTGGTTTTCATTACTAAATTGAGGGCATAACTTAGCCAGACATTTTTATAAGACTTCTCCTGACATCAGTAGAGGGTTCAAAGTAGGAAACTAATTCTTCCCTCGCTTGAGGGCCATAAGCACAGTAAGTTGACTTCCTCCAAAAATGTGCAGTCATTTCTGCCCTGAAGAGCCGTGGCTTTTCTCTAACGCAGGTGAGCTTCCTCACCTTCCTAATTGACTTGTAAGAGCAGATTTCAACACAGTTTGCTTGAACAGATTTGTGCAACCACATCTGTTTCTAGCACACATTTCCTCTTTGGTGGAAGTCCCAGAACAGGGCAGCATGAGCAGAGGAGGCTCCCTACAGATCAGAGGAACACACAGTGTTCAAGACCATGTCGGAACCTGTCAGGATGGACCTTGTCTTGCTACAATGCTAGAGGGACAAGAGCAGTTTTCTGCAGAAGGCTGGCAGAACAGCATGTTACTTGAAGTGTGATCCACTTCAAGTAGCTAGAGGACCTGGCAAAGATGCAGCAGGAGAATTTTCTGGTTGATTTGGCTCTGTATCCCAAAGTATAACTGCAGCAGTGTGCATGGATTTTAGCAGGTTCTTACTTCCTAAAAGAACAAACCAATTTGATTCATAGTCCCAACCAGAGAAATCTTTTCAGAATGAGAGGGTTACCACTTAAACTCAGTCTCCACACATGAACAGCCTACTGCATCCCACCACCTCTGTATCCTTAGCAAAGTATTTTAGGAGCCAGGTAGAAGAGGAGAAGTCAGAACGCTGAAGGACAAATCTTGCTAAAACCAAGACAGTGGCCATAATAACATCAAAAGCAGTCAGACCAAAAGGCTGAGCTGATACCACAGAGGCAAAGCCAAATTTAAACAAACAAAACACCCAACACACTAAGTCCAACAACCCACAACTGCTCTAATTCACCAGCTACACTGGGACATGAACACCAATATACTTGCTGAGCCTTTCCCTTCCTATCACTCTGTATGTCTTCTTGCTGCAGATTAAGACCCCACTCACAGGCTTAGGACCATCATGCCAAGAGGTATCCAGGTGTGTGAAAGAAGTTAGTCTCATGGACAGAAACCACTAAACCACCAAAAAGTGTATTTTTATCCCCAGTTGCTGCTCAGCAAACAGCTGAACCAAGGGCTGACACTGGCTTTACCTCCCCGGTTCCTAACTCTTTGATTTGCAGGCTGTTCACATGGACAGGCTCAGTCATAGAATCATAGAATCACAGAATCATAGAATAGTTAGGGTTGGAAAAGATCTTTAGATCATCAAGTTCCAATCCCCCTGCCGTGGGCAGGGACACCATAACATAACAGTCATAATATTCCAATTTCGTCATTGCCATGACCTTCTGTATTCAACCTGAATACTTCATGAAACTTACTTGTAATGCAGACTGGGGTTAATCTCTCACCCCTTATATCCCTCCCAGAAGATGGTTATTATGTACTTGACCAAATGATTGACTAGCCCTAATAAGGAAGCTGGACTTCTCTGCACCATTCATATGGAGATCAGAGCAGAAGACCTCCACTATGTAATGTTCCACAATCAGATGTCTTTAAGGCTATCTCTCTAAACACAAGCACCATATAGTAAAATCATTGGTACATAAAAATAACTAACAAAAAATAAAGCTGCAGGACTCTTGATGTATTTCCTTACTAGGTCTTAAGTTGGAGCCCTATTCAATCTTTCAACTTACCCTCTTAGAGCAGCAGGTAAGCTTTAAAGTGCTGCCTGACAGTCAAACCAGCTTCCAGCAGACCACTGTGAGAAGTCAGCACAGGATCCTGACTGAGGGCACCCCTCAAACACTGACATCTCTCTAGAAAATACTCTCCTGTGACACTAAAACAAGTAGACAACACTATTCTGCATGTGTCTTTAGCTGTAGACCCACATATCACCTACCACCTACCTACCACCACTGCACTAATCCAACCTAGAGGTCACGAAGGCATGACTAATGTGGCAAGAGCTGCACATTTGTGTTTGAGATTAGCACCGACAGCTCAGTTTCTCTTCTTCCAATGTCACTAAAGACCATTTGACAGTAAATGAAGGTAGGGGGTGATTAGCACCTTCATAAGAGAAGGCAGGCCAAAGGGAAAGATGTGGGCGCAGGGACTCCTCAATGGATCTGTTCAGAGACCGTAGCCTATTGATGTGAAGCGATGACTATCCCCCTTCTCACAGCACAGTTGCACAAGCAATTCCAGTTTAACACAAAGTTGGAAGGAGGGTAGAGGCACAGGCTGCAGAAGAGAAGAGATCTGTAGCATTTATACTTTTATTCTCTGCAAGCAATAACATTTGTTACTGAGAAGATTAATCAGGATTCTTCTAAGGCAGGAGCAGAGTCAGTATCACAACGTAAGAGAATGAGAACTTAACTGCAGAGCACCTCCTGTGCCATGACTACAGGTAAGGAGGAGCATGTGCAGGGCAGACACTCCAAAGGGTGAGCTGCATTTCTAGGCAACCCAGGACACTCAGTATCTAGCAAGCTTGAATTCGGGGTTCTGTCTTTTGTGCTGCAACAGTGAACAGCAAGAGAATCCCTAGGTACTGAACAGAGTGTTAAGTTCTTTGTTGTGCATCAGGGATTAACATTTCATGTAACTGCAGTGGAAGACACAGAGCTACATACACTGATCTTGGCAAGAGGTGAGTTCCATATTACTCTGGCAAAAAAAATAGAAGCTTTTACAAATGTTTTATTCTTGCAGTGCTCCATATTATTCACATACACTCCCAAAGCAATCCAGGTTCAGCATTCATGATGCAAGAGCTACAAACACTGTAAATTTGTTGGAAACATTTATTTTCCATGACACCTAATATATTTCACTGTTAATATAAGGTGACATGTTCATAGTGATTTCATTTGAATCCCATTTAATGGTAGTAACAGATGGAGCAGGACAGAGCAGTGTACACACTAGTGACAGAAAACAACATAACTTTGACAATTCAGTATTTTTCAGTATCACTGAGACCATCAAAGATTTGTATTTAGCAGGAACTCTGTAACTGGCTCGGTATCATAAACTGCAATGCTGGACATCAAACCTGCCTGAGCACGCTATTAAAAGCCCAAATACAAAACTTTACCAGACCACCAGATGAAATTGCAATTTTGTTTTCCAAAACAAAAGATAATGGAGCTCCTGTAACTATGCCAGCACACAAACACAAGGGATAGGATTTGTTTCTTGGGCTCATTAGGTGACAGGACTACCAGGCAACACTGATCCTTTTGCAGGCTTAGGCCAAGAAACATCCAAAAAGTAGAGCAACCACAGAGCTGTCATGGCTGTTTGTCAAGCAGCTCAATTAGAGGATTCTCCCAAGGAAATGCATGAAATAATCTATCAGGAACACAGGCAAAGTATGGCTCAACTTAATAAACTGGGGCCTGCCATCTCAATAATACAGTGACAAGAGAGCCAAGACATAACTTAGGCATTTTGGAGCTAGTATTTGTTCCCTAGCAATGGTCCATGAAATACTCACATTAATTTACCTCATCACCTAGATGCACCATCTCATTGCTGTCATTAAATGAAATCCTTTCAAAAAGGATATCAAGGAAAGCAGATGACTGAATAGATAAGTTGTGAAGTCAATCTGAGCACATTAAATAGCAACCTGTCATTTTTAGGAAAATCAAGAAAACAAGCCAGCAAAATTGTGCAGGATCTACAGAACAAGTGATATGTTTAAACTCTTCAACAAATGATAACAGTTCCTCAAGAAAAGGGCTGGTGAGGATTTCCTCTTGCATTAGGGGCATTGCTCTAGATGAGAAAAGTCTTTCAGGAGCTTCATCTTCACACAGGTTCTGCACCTATGTATCATTAATGAAAGAAAAAGATGAGAAGTATCTGTGGAGTTGCTTGCAAGGCTGAGAAGGTATTATCATTGCAAAGGACACGCTTCTGCTTCAACACTCTCTTGCACAAGGTGCTTCCTCCACCCTGCACTAGACAGCTCTAATAAGCAAACAAGTTCTCTTAGCAGCCCAGAGGGGCAGGTTTGCTCTCTACATCCACCAGCCAAAGGAGAATGCAATGTGACATGCAGTAGGAAGCCAGTTAAAGGCAAAATGTAAGAGCTGAAGAATGAGTAAATTGGCTCAGACTAAGCACTCCAGACGTTGCATCAGGAAGACTTAGAACACACAGTCCAGCTCCTCAACAAAGGCAGTCACGGGAGACACAGCAACAACTTTGCTGATGCCTTTCATCTCAAAAGAGTGTTCTGAACAAAAGGTCATTTCATTTGCTGACTAAACTTTACCATATCTGGGAAGGAAACACAGCAGTCCTCTCAAATTCACAACAGTTTATGACAGGAAAAAGATACCACAGCCAACTTAGCAAGTGGTGGTAATGACTTTTCCCTCCCTGAACCCCTCCATTTATTTTCAATCTAGGCACCACTTTGCTTCAGCGGTGTGTAAATGAGGGGGTTGAGCAGGGACAACCCTTCTAGTGCCACATAGGAGAATAAGCAATGGATTCCCCACCATTAAAGCTGTGCACTCTGCCTCCTATTTCTAGCAAAATCCCAAATGTCCCACTCCTGTCCTGCACTACTTAACTACATGGTTTGAGAC